AAAGGGGGCCAGGCTCAGTGCTGGAGGGAGTGCTGGCCGTCACCCTGCTTTGGGGAAGAAGGCCGGTCTGGCTCAAGAGACAGGAGGAAAAGAACAGGCTGGGACAGCCTACAGTTCTCAGGACTTGGGGGGCCAGGAGGCCCAAAGCCTAGGAACTTAAGACTACTAGCACCCTCAGCAACCAGTATAAAGGTGCCAACTCAATGGTGATGCCCAGAGGTCAGAGGTCAGAGGTCATTGCCATACCTTGCCTGGTCTGGAGCCTCAATGAGGTGGGAGTGGGGAGGCTGCTCAAGTCCTCCTGGCCTCCAGGTGGCGGCCTGTGTGGGGCGTGTGTGGCATGGAGGTGCCTCTGTTAGAGGGAAGACAGGATGAGGCTGACTGTTGAAGGCTGAGGGGTGACAGACTGTTTTCCCAGCCACCCCTCTGGCCGCCAGTCTGGACCAGACAGTGGTGAAGTCTCCCTGGCCGAGCCGAGGGTGCGGGCTGGCCCAGGGCCTGGGAATAGACTGTGCAAAGGAAATGCCGTCTGGGATTTGGGCACAGACTCCAGGGGTGGAGAGGCCACCTGGCAAAGATCTCCAGGCCTCGCCTCACCCCACCACCTCACACATTCACTCAACAAGCATTTCCTGCCACTTACCCTGTACCAGCCATGCAGGCGGCTCCAGCCTGGTGCCCGTGGGAGCCCTCCCCGCAGCAGCCCCGCCTCAGGCCCCTGGGTTGTCTGCGCAGCCACCTCTGACAGGCTTGAGCAGACGTGTGGCTGGAGGGGTTCCCCTCCATCCCTGACTCCTGGCAAACTCAGCCCCTCGGGCTTCCAAGTGAGAGTCAGTTTATTTTCCACCTCCCCATCCCCATCCTGTATGGCCTCCGAGGGCTCTAGAGGATTGGAGCTGGGGCTGTTCCTCGTTAAGTCGCAGCATTGGGCGGGGAACCAGCCAGGCATGAAGGGAGCATGAGGCCTGGCCCCCTCGGTCTGCCTGCCAGGGCCTGATGCTGTCCACACCTCAGGCTCCCACCGGATCCAGTTACTGCCTTTCCTGTCCCAGGTGTGGGTGTGCGTTTGTGTACCTGCAGGACAGCTCTGGGTGGGGGGATGTGGGTGCCTGGGGCTGTGAGAGGGGGATCTGTGTATACAACTCCAGGTTGTCCCTATGGGCGGGGTTGTTGCTTCTGTGTGTTTGTGTCTGCTTCCGGGTTGCATTATGTGTGTGGTGGTTTTCTGGATGTATGTGTGGTGTCTGGGAGCAATCTGAGTGTGTGTGGTGGGTTTGTGTGTGTGCAGTAAATATTAATTCCAGCCACAAATTCAGGTGCCCAAAAAAATGTTCCAGCTGTTTTCTAATTTATTTTTTTTGGTGGGGGGAGAGGGGTAATTAGGTTTATTTATTTTTAATGGAGGTACTAGGGATTGAACCCAGGACCTCATGCATGCTAAGCACACCCTCTGTCACTGAGATCTACCCTTCCCCTCCAGCTCTGTTTTCTTTAAATGACATTAAAGTGCATCTATCCCCTCATCCCTCCTGTGGACAGTGAATTTGACCTCAGTCCTCTTAGGGCTCCCTGCCCACCCCTTCCAGGGTCTTGCACAGGACAAAGCATTGGGGGTCCTTCTGGCATGTGGCCCACTGTGCACTTGAGAGCCACTGTCCCAGCCCTCGTGGTCTCTTGGCCTGCAGGGCCTCTGCCATATCTAGGTCACATGCTGGTGTAAGAATCTCATCAGCTGAGAGCTCGATGTCCTGGGGCCCGGCTGGCTGAACCCCCAACATGCCACTCGGAGTCATCCTGGCAGCTGATGGGGAGCAGAGTTCAAGCACTCTGCAGAGTTTTCGCTGGCTCCTGTCCCTTCCCAGTCAGGGCATCATCCATCCCCTTTGACGTCCTCTCCCCACCCTTAGCTGAGAATTTTGGGAGTCTCTGGAGGTTCATTCCTCTGTGCAGCTGAGGTGTTTGGGGGACTCCAAATTTGGGAAATGAACCTTGCACCCTTAGCACTGTCTGGGCTGGGACAGCAGAGGCTCTGCTGCAGGTGGTTTGGGCACCCTGTCAGCTGGAGGGGTTGCTGAGAGCTGCTGAGAGTGGGACTGGGGGACAGGAGGAGAAGAGGAGTGAAGCACTCAGAAGAGACCAATGCAAGAAGCAATGCTAGCCATTTATTGCAACAGATATGGTCCAGGGACCTGAAGTGCCCTCCACCGATGCGCCCGCTCCTGCCCAGTCCCGCCCACTCCCTCCCTCCCCTAGGCCCACAGAGGTCTCCTACACAGGCACACAGTTGTGCTTCAGAAGGCGGGAGGAGTTCTGCCAGGGAACCATGAGGATCTCAAAGTCACAGCGCAGCTTCTGCAGACAGAGAATGAGGAAAGGAGGGTTAGCCTGGTCCCAGGCCCGCCTCCTCCCAACTGTCAGCCCCGTGCCAGTCACATTTCCCTGTGACGTGCTGGCCCAAGGGACATCGAGTCGGATGGCCAAGACCAGATGCCAAATCTTTCTAGTGAACCCCCTCCCTCCAGGGGAAGCCCCCAGGCTTCTCCTCTTGGTACCCCACCCCAGCACCAGGGGCTGAGTCATCCAGAAGGAAGGGACAGGTCCAGCCAGACCAGTTCAGGACCCAAGTGCTGGCAGGACAGGCTGATGCCTGGCTCAGGGCAGGGCTGTTACCTCCTGCTGTGCTTCTGCAGCCAGAGGGCAGATGGTGAGGTCTATGTGGTCTCCAGCCATTGCGTTCTTCTGGCAGGCTGTGCTTCCCATCTCCACAGTCAGGTAGTACTTGACGCCAGCCACCAGCTGGGACGGAGGGTGGGGACCAGTCAGGGGTGCTGGGAGACAACCCTTGACCTGGACCTCTCCCCTCTCTCCATATCCTTCCATCTCCCCTCATCTTCCCCGGACATAACCAGCACACTGGCCTTGGGATTCAGATCTGGGATGCATGTGGGGACAGGAATGGGTGGGGAGGGATGACAGGGAGTTCTGGTGGGGACCCCTGAGAAGTGGGGAAATCCAGGAGGCTGAGATTCAAGTCCACACAGCGGCCTGTCTCTCATCATTCTCTCCCCAAACCCACCCATCAGAGCAGGGAGGCTAGTGAGGTAGCTGTGCAAATTCAGGGTTGGATCCTATTTGGGATATCTTGTTCATCACGAATTTTTGGCATTAATTGGACTTTCCACAATATATTGTATTAAAATGTCATCCTGATCACTCTCGTGTCGCCCAGACGTTGATCTGGTGCTCCGCTGAGTGCCTCCCTCGCCTCACCCCAGCGCCCCGCCTCCCCTCCTGCCCGGTCCCGCCGGAGGGGCCGCACCTGGCTCTGCGCCCGGAGGATGTTGGTATCGCGGAAGTAGTAGACGCTGTTGCTGCCCATGTTGTAGTTGGCCACGGCCACCTGCACCGCCTTCTGCACCTGCGGGTCGCTGGGCGACAGTTCCTGGCGTTCTCCGACCTTGCGGTCCCCTGGCCGGGCATCGCTGGGCAGCGCCAGGAGGCAGAGCGCGAGCAGGGCCAGCCCCAGCGGCAGCAGGAGGCTCGGACGCGCCATGATCGTCGGTGTCTGGCCTCCGCCTCGGCCCGCGCCGCTTTTACGGGCTCCGGGCTCCGCGGCCCCGCCCGCCGCCCGCCGTGCGCCCCCGCAGCCGGGCAGGGGAGGGACCGCTGGGGCTGGGCAGTCCTCTCGGCGGGGCTGTGCCCTGGCGCCAAGGGCGACAGCGGACAGGCGCAAGCACACCTGGGTACTACGATGCTGCCTGCTCTCCAGGGCACACCTAGTCTGGGGAGGGAAAAGCCAGCGACAGTCCTTAGCAACAAGTGCCCCGACTGGGGCAGTTCACCGAGGCCCATGCAGTATGAAATACCAACAACCACCAGCAGGCTCTTACTGTCGCCATCATCTACTAACCGGGTAACCTTGGAGAAGTTACTAAACTCTCACTACCTCAGTTTCCTTCTCTGTAAAATGGGTTGCTGTGAGGATTCAATAAGTAAAGTGCTTAGGGGAGGCCTGGTGCTCTATAAACAGCAGGCAAGTAGAAGGCATTACTGTGCTGAGCCACTGTTTAACGCCCACCACCAGCATGATGTGGGAATCAGTAAAGCTTCCACTTTACAGAGGCTTAAACAGGACACAAAGTGAACGTTGAGAACTGACCAGAAGGAGGGATGTACATGGTACCAGCTCTGCCATTCACTGCTTGGGGGACTTCAGTGTCCTCATCTGAAGAAAGGACACTATTCTTGTCTTCTAAGGTTATGATGACATATTGGCCCAAGACTGGGTCACTCCTAGGTAAACTGGGCATGTGTTGGAGATACCAGCAAAATAGGGCTATGACTTTTGGGGGGGAGTAGTCTGACAATTAGGATATTAAAAAACAGCATTGAAGTAGTCAACACTGGAAAAGTCTGGATTTTATTGGAATTGTTTAGAATTAGTATTTCAGAGTTCAGGGTAGTCTGCACTTTTAATCACATATTGCTAGGGGAGATGGGGCTTTTTGCTCTTGGGACATGAAGATCTAGTTAGTGGTTAGGGCCTCCAAGGATCTTAACTGGGGCTTGGGAGAGGCTGTGGTTTTCAGTGTTGACGTTTAGCAAGTGGTAGCTATTATTGTGATGAGTATTATGAGTAAGCAGCCAGTATTCCTCCCCCCACCTGCCCCCACACCCACCAATTCTTGGCCTCTCAGAATCCCAGGACCAGGAAAGGCAGTGATTTCTCCCTGGGAGACTGGAACCAGAATGTTGTCACAGCCCAGTCCAGCTGCTACCCCACCCCCTCAGCCCAGCTGGGAAAAACAGTCTGGGGATGCCAAGGAGCAGCCACAAGTTTGTCGCAGGCTCAGGTGTCTGCCTTAAAGGGACAGGCCCATTCGTGCGAAAGCTGGTAAAAGCTTGGCTTGGTGAGAAGGCCAGGGCCAGGCAGGAGCCCGACCTGAGAGAAGCTGGGAGTGGAGAAGAGTAAGAGGTCCAGGGCCGCAGTACTGGGGAGAGGTGGGAGAGGCAGCCCCAAGGGACTGGGAGCCTCCTTGGGTTCTCCGTGTCAGCCCTCCTGTCCGTTGGAACTCAGCTATGGCCACACTTACCTCCAATAGCTCCGTGAGAAATTACCTGAGGCCCAGTCTCCAACTCACCAAGGGCCAGGGGGTCCCCAGATCACTTGCCCCTGCCCTGTCATTCCTTTGTGCTAACACCAATAAATCTTTTGCACACCAACCTAAAAATTTCCAAAGCCTTTTCACCCACTGATCTATTCTCACAAGCATCCTGAGTACTAATCATCATCCTCATTTTGCAGATGAAGAAAGTTAATCAGATAGGTCAGGACACTTGTCTGAGATCACATAACTAGAAGTGGGGTCTTGGTGAGAAAAGAGGGATGGGGAAGGGAAGTTCATTCCTGGGCTCTGATACGTGCCAGGCCTTGTACCAGGACTCAACATATGTCCTCTCATCCTTATAACAACTCTGTAGAAGCAGTGATTTATATATATATATATATATACACACACACATACATGCACACACACATATATTTATACACACACACACACCACTTTTTTTTTTACAAGGAGGAAATGGAGGGTCAAAGGAGAAGGGTAAGTGGTGGGCCAACATCCTAGTGTGTGAGTTCTGGGCTGCCCCACAGGGATATGAGGTCTGCTGTGATGAGGGAGGCTCCCTGGGGGTGGGGGTGCCCTGGGAAAACTGGGTCTTATCTGGAAAAGTCTTAGCCTGGACTCTGTCCATCCTTAGTCTGGACCACTCTGGCTTCCAGAAGTAGGCCTGGGCCAGGTGTGAGCTCAGGTTGGCCATCCTCACTGGCCACCAGGCACAGCCTCCAGTTTTGCCATGGCCCCGCCATCCCAACCTGGTTTCCCATCGCACCCGTCCCCTGCCCGTGGCTGATGGGCCTCGCTGACCAGGGTGGGTCCTTGGCATCCCCTTCACCCTGGGATCTGGTCATCTAGTACTTTCGCTGCTCCCAGGGCCGTCTTCCTTGAAAGTTTGGCTGGGCCACGATATTCCCTCCCCAGGGCTCTGCTCCCCTTTCCCTGTCGGACCACATCCTGGACAGGGAACTGGATGGCAAGGAAAGCTGCGATACAACCGTGAGTCAAGCTGCTCTCTGTGGAGGAGCTCCCCCAGGTGCCAGGGGCTTCACGTTCATTAGCTGGTTGAATCTTCACAAGGCCACACCAGCTGACAGAGGCTCAGGGCAGTGAAACCACTTGCTCAGGGTCACGCAGGGAGGAAAGAAGGAACTGAGAGCAGAAACAGGACTCTTGCAGGCTACTGTCAGTCAAGGCCAGAAATAACAGTAGGAAGAGCCCTGGGTCCCTGCAGGGAGGAGGCAACGTGGAAGGGGCTGATAGTCCTGAACGTGGACTGTGAGCCTTTCACACCCTCTGGGCTGCAACTGGGTTGGGGTGGGGAAGTGAGTCTTCGGCTGGGATTCATCCCGTAGTTTCCCCCTATTTCTTTCCCAGGGGCAGCAGGACCCCTTCAGGACCCCGGAGTGCAGGGGTTGGGTTCACCCCAAGCTTTGGGCCAGATCTGCACACTTGAGAAAGACTGACTCGGGGGTCCAGCTCTGGCTGGGTGCAGCAGAAGTAGGGGGACACTGAGTCAATCTTTACTGACTTCTGGCCCCACCCATGCTTCCAGCCATGCACGTCCTGTTGGGAGGCGTGGGCTGACATCTAGATAACCTGCCTCCTACCCATCCCCACCCAGGTCTGCTTTCTCCAACATTCCAGGCCTTGCTCCCTTTGTCCTGCTGGCCGAGTCACGGCTGGGTCTCTGAGAGGCCACCATCACAATGTACATTCCAGATGCCCTTTGTCTCCTGCTGCTCCAGGAGGCAGATTCAGGAAGTTGATTCAGGAAGTTGTGTGGGAAGCACCAAAGAGCCCGGCCCAAGGGTTCCAGGCCCACCTGTCACAGGTACTGCTGCGCCCAAGGTGGAGGTGGAATGCAGGCTGCAGCCCCTTCAGAGCCGAAGCCTGCGGGTGTGGCAGAGAAGAGCCCAGAGTAAGGAGAGCAAGCAGCACGTACCACAGAGCTGTGCCGGGCAGGCCCCAGGACCAGAGCCACCAGAGGCAAGACCGGGCAATCTGCATGGGCAGGAGCTCCAGAAAGGGCATCATGGAGGAGCAGGGAGTCTCCATGACCTCGCAGAGTGCCAGCAGCACTCCGGCACTACCACGGCTGAGGGGGGCGGCTGTGGCCCTGCCCAGCCCACACCTAAGCACACCAGGCCTGTGTGACAGCAATCACAGCACAAGGGTCAAGGCTCAGGGGACTCCGAGGTGACCCTGGACCCATCCAGGATAACTTCAGAAACATAGTATGGCCAGAACCTTCAAGGACAGCCCACATGATCAACTAGGCCTGGGCTTCAGATAGGCACCCTCCCAGGAAGCAGCCTGTAACGCAGGCTGGGCCCAGCTCTGGCCATCCTGCGACCTTCGGGGGTGTGGGCACCGCTCACACTTCCCAGAACTTGCATGGAACACTCATCCCTACTAACAACTATCATACTTTCTGACTAATCATCTAATTGCTCTATTTTTATTTTTGGTTTCCCTTTTATCCTTCTACCGTTCTGAGATGTAGCTAATAAACAGAAACGTACCCAGAACAGTCAATGCCTGTATCACCATCACACAGGTCAAGAAATGGAAACTGCCATTCCCAGCCCCAAATGTTCCCACACGGCACACCTGCCTCCCTCCCCAAAGGCAATCACTATCAACTTTTCTTTTTTCTTTTTAAAAATTTTTGGGGGAGGTAATCATGTTCATTCACTCCTCTTTTTTTTTTTTAATGGCAGTACCAGGGATTGAACTCAGGACCTCATGCATGCTAAGCACGTGCTCTGCTGCTGAGCTATACCCTCCCTGCTTCTTTTTCTTTACTATTGAACGTTGGCTCAGATGCTGGTGCAGGCGCACGAGTGTCCCCATCACAGCCCCAGGAACAGAATTGCTGGCTCACAGGGTGGGTCTTTAGTTTTACTGGAAAACACCCAACTGTTTTCTCCAACTGTTTACACCAAATAACACTCCCACCAGTCGGGTATCAGTTCTTGTTGATCCATTTTATCATCAGCACTTGGTATTGTGAGACTTCAAAATTTTTGCCAATCTTGTGAGTGTGTAATAGCATGTTTGTGTTTCTGACCACTACTGTGATTGAGCACATTTTGATGTGTTTTCACCACCATCTGGGTGTTCCTCTATGGCTGCCCTTCAGCTCTTTTTTAGCCACTTTCCTGTTGTGCTGTCTTGACTGCAGTTGTGAATATGCTCTGGACACAGCCCTTCATCATTTACGTGTGCTGCAAATACCCTTCCCCACCTTGGGTCAGTCTCCTTCCTCTCTTTATGGGAGCCTTAGATGAACAAAGTTTCTATAATGAAGTTAAATTTACTAACTTTTTCTTAATTTTTCCTTACTGTGAGATCATGAAAATCTTCTCATCCCAGTTCTAATATTCATTATCCATCATCTCTCTCCTTACCAGACTAGTCCCTCTGAGGAAAATTCTGTAACCAAGTAGGTTTTCAACGACGCTAGCATTGCATCTGATTCTTACAATAACCTCATTTTCCAGGTGGGAAAACTGAGTCTCAGAGAAGCCAACTGACACGACCAAGGAACACAGTACTCTCAGGTACATGTGTTTCCATGTCAAGTTTTTAGAGTCAGTGTGAGTACTTAGTATTAAGTCCATGGTCATGACATTCAGCCTCTCTGAGCCTGTTTCCTCACCGATAAAAGAGAAAACCATTATTTGCTATTGCAGAAAAAAAGAAAAAGCTTGCAAAGATCTTAGCTGTGGGCCTGGTTCATATAGGTGTTTGACAAAGAGCATGACGAAAATGTACCAAATTAAAGGGTAACTCACTCAACACTCCACCCCCAGTTATGACGCCCATGTTCTTCCTGCCTTCCTAAGAAAACAGGGCAGACTGCAAGAGTCCTGCCCACTCCCCCCAGAGGCCAGGAGGTACCTGCCAATGATGACTGACAGGCAAATCCCTACCCACATCCAGTCCACCCTCTTCCTGGTAGCTCTGACTCCCACTGACTTTTCCACCAGGTGCTGCCTAGCCCAGCTGATGACCACACTGACATTTGGAACACCACAGCTCATCTGGATCCCAGGACATGGTCAACCCACATTCTCTCCCACACTATTCAGAGATTGAGACACTCCAAGCACCCGCCTAAGGCCCATGTGGCCAAGGTGGCTGCCCTTTGAGGAGGCTGCCAGTTTCGATCTGCACTGATAAGGAGTGACAAACCTGGTCAGTCCCGGAGAAACAGGCAACTCCCAGCCCACCTGCTTTCCACGCACAAGACCCAGTTATGAAGGCCACTAACTTTATTGATTTAAAAAATTTTACAAGGACAGTGACTGTTCTGCCAAACAGAGGACCAAATGACATAAAACAGACCAGAGGTGAGGGTGGGCGTGAAGGAAGGGGCCAGGAATCCACTCAGAAAAGCTGGTAATTGCTGACATGAAATTGGCAGGGAGAGAAGGGAAATGCATGCAAGAGTGAGAATTACAAAAAAGTTGAAATGGTGAGGGGAGAGAACTCCCAAAAGACCCTGGAGTACATCGGAGGTGTGGACAACAGCAATCTTTTCCTTTGTAGAAGACGGAGGAGTAGTCCTCACTTGGCTGCAAACTCTGGAGACTCAAGGCTGGGGCTAGGGATCGGGGTCTCCCCAGAGAGCATCACAAGAAGGCGTCGCACCACTCTCGAAGACACCCGAAGCAGTCCCGAGACTGCTTGGCGTTGGCACCGCATGTGTCCTTCAGCCATTCTCGGAAGAGGTCTTCATCTTTCTTTAGAACCAGAAACTGGCCAAGGACCACATAGGCCTGCAAAACAGAGTAAAGGACATGCTGCTAAGTGCTCTGTGGGACTAAGAACACAAAGGCCACTTCTGTACTATTCAAAGTACATGCACCTAGGAGGCAGGGCAGGCTCTGGCTAGCTCTTCAGATTACCCATCACTGTCAGCCCCCAAAAGATACACTTACTCTCAAACTGCCAGGAAATATGGTAGTCTGCCACCCCTAGGCCTCCCCAGCTGCATGCAGCCTCCCTGCACCTTGTCAAAGCCTCTTTCCTCCAGCTTCTTGCCCAGGACTTCACCAATCCCGGCCAGGCTTCCCACTGGTTTTTCCCCCATGGGCTCTGCCACGAAGTCTCGGTGCTTCTGGGAGGTTGTCATCTTGATCTGGGAATCCCAAGAAAAAGTAGGTTAGAGCTGAACACCTGGGGACTTTCAAAGGCCCAGTGGCAACTCACAGTAAGAGGAAACTAAACCCGTCATTATGGAGACTTACTCGATTCCCCCCACTTCACAGATGAGAAAACTGAGGACCAGGGAGAGTCTTTTTATTACTCTTCAAGAGAGAAATGTCTCCCACTTCCTGCGGGAGCTGGCGTTTGGCACCGCCCCAAAGAAAAAACTATCTTGCCCTAACAGGTGGCGCACGCGGGGCAATCCCAGGGTTGGTCAATACCCAAGGCCCGCCCTGAAACTGTCACTCCTCTGTGACCTTGGCTGGGCAAAGGCAGCACTGACCCTGCCTGGCACCGCTACCCGACCTGAAAAGCAAAGGGAGTCTCTCCATCCCATCCGCCCCACAGGCTGCACACGGAGAGAAGGCCCTAAGCGCGCACACTCGACGCTCCAGCCCGCGGGGTCCAAGCCTGGGCTCCCGCCGCGCCCCACGCCGCCGGCCCCACCCTCAACACGCCGTACACCGTCCCCGCCCCCTCCCTGCACCGCTGCGCCCCTCCCCGCGGCCAAGCTCTCTCCGAGGGCGCATCTTCTTGCCCGCCGCAGCGCTTGCGGCCCGTCTCCTCCCCTCCTCCCCGCGCCTCCTCTGGACTCCAGCCTAGGCTCCGCTCCGCGGCTCGCGCTCACCCGCAGCTCCGGCTCTCCTAACGGCTTCTCCCGCCACCCGGCTGCTCCCACCGATACCTCAGCCCACTAGAACTTTCTTCCACTTCCGCTTCCGGGTCGCCTCACGAGCCGTTTTAAAAAAAACTACTATGGGCACTTCTAGCCTCATAGAGTCATAGAGATGAGGGGCCCCGGACCTCGTGTGCACCCTTAATAGGCACTCCTTTCCGGGCACTTCGCGGGAAGCCTGACTGCCTTCTGTGGCCTCGTTTCTCGGGAAGCATTTCCGGTCTCAGGGAGCAGAGGCCTGGGAGGTGAAAACATTATTGCTGCGCTGAACGGCATCCGGAACTTAAGGACTTAGCCGTGGCCGACCTGGCGGTGGGAAGAGTTAGAGGAACGGACAACGGGAGAGGCGTGGCCGAGAGGCTTCCGGAAGACCGCCGGAAGTACGCTGCCCGACTCCAGCCGACCCGCGCCGTCCGCATCGCTGTCGGGCTCCTAAGAATTAGGGGGATCCCGAGGTGCCGGAGGCCTGAGTTCCGGCCGACTCCACCGTCTTGACCGCTGCCAAGTCCTTTTTCTGTGCTTTCATTGGCTCAGGTGCGAAGAGAGTCGTGGACGAGCCGCTTGCATCTTCCAGCCTGGAGAACGGCAGCGCCTGTTGGGGTCTAGGGCCAGAGAGTAAGTGTGGGTTTCTCTTTGAGCGTCTTTCCTCCAGGATAGGGAGGAAGGAGGGTACGGGTCGGCAACTAGAGATGAGACTTCTGAGTCGTCTTTGGAAACCATTAGTTTTCTGAGTACGCATCAGTCTTGGCCTTCTCAGTACCCAATTCAGAAACATAGCAGATGCCAAAGACCAAACCGACCTACCCTGACCTTTAATTAACATATTCCCGATTTGGCTCTCCTAATTGGTTTCTTTGTGTGTTGACAGACTGAGCACCTCTGTTGCGTTACACATGGGATGTACAAGCATGTTGAGGAAGAAACGGTTTATCTCCATCAAATAGTTGCCGGAATGACGTATTTTTTCTAGGACATATATTTAGTTTTTATGGTTATGCCTGTTCTTAATGATGACGCGAGTTATTTTTAGGTACCATACAGTGTGCTAAGTGCTTTGCTTAGAATTATTTCCTCTTAATAAGAATGTTCTGAGTTGGCTATTTTTCTCTGAAATCTAGAGAAATGAACAGCCAGGAAATAGCCAAGGTAGGATTTCAGAGCCCATATTCTTAATCAGGACTGTGCCACTTCTCAATAAAAGACCTCTCTTCATCTTTAAAAGTCCTGGGTTCTGAGCCTGCCATCCAAGAAACTCAAGAGGAGGAGTTGACAGACTGCATCCCTCACCACCCTGAGACAGGACCCAACATGTCTCAGGCCACCAAGAGGAAGCACGTGGTGAAGGAGGTGCTGGGGGAGCACATGGTGCCCTCTGACCAGCAGCAGATCGTGAGGGTGAGTGGCATTGGGGACGAGCTTCTCAGCCCCCTACCCACCTTGGGCCTCTGGGGTGGGGGTAGGGTGCAGTACAGCTCAGCAGGTTTTGGAGCTGGCTGACGAGGCTGACTGGTTCTTGTTCTCTCCTGGCCCAGGTACTAAGGACCCCAGGCAACAATTTGCATGAAGTAGAGACAGCCCAGGGGCAGCGCTTCCTGGTGAGCATGCCCTCCAAATACCGGAAGAACATCTGGATCAAGAGAGGTGAGAGAGACAGCCCTTTGGGAAACAGAACTGTTTCCCATGGTCTTGCCTTTCCCCAGCTGCAAGCAGACTGTGCCTTTTCTCCTTTCTACCTGCAGGGGACTTCCTCATTGTTGATCCTATTGAAGAGGGAGAGAAGGTGAAGGCTGAGATCTCCTTTGTGCTCTGCAAAGACCATGTGCGCTCTCTGCAGAAGGAGGGGCTCTGGTAAGGTCATTGGCTGCTTGACTTCAAAGGGGTTTATTTCCTCACTGTGGAATTAGGGGAGGGAGGATCATGGCATCCCAGGCAGGGACAGCTGGAAACAGCTTTTTTGCTGAGAGAGTTCTCTGTCCTTTGTGACCCCAACTCTTCTCTTGGCACAGGCCTGAGGCCTTCTCCCAAGTGGCTGAGAAACACAGCAACAGCAGGAACAGGTGAGGAGCAAGTCATGGGGGAGGGGAGACAGAAAATGGGGCTTCAGGCTTTGGTGTCTTGAGAGGAAGCAGAGCCTTCCTTTCTTCCTACATAGGGTCTCTGGTGAGAGCTTCTAAATATGTGATTATGAGTTGGCTTGAAAGTCAGATCCCCTGGTTTAAAGTTCTGGCTTTGCCAGTTATAACTGAGTGACTTCTAGCAGGTTAATCTCTTAAGCCTGGATTTTATCACCTATAAAATGGGAGTTTTGTGAGGATTAATGTGGCTAATGCTTGTAAAACTGTTTAGTATAGTACCTGGTAAGTAACGGGGGTCCATTAACTGTTAGTTGGTCATAGTAGATTCATTATTTTTAGGATTAGTAGCTCTAGCAAACTTTTGAGATAGAGGTGAGAGCTAGTATTTAGCCTGTTTTTCTTGGCCAAGTTTTCCTGCTGTTTTGCCCTGATTCTCTCCCTGTCTGATTCACTGAGTCCTAACTGCTTGGCCATATGGTTTTCCTTTTTGTGAGGCTCCTTGATTGCAGATCTGATTTTACAGAGGGCATATAGCTAACTCTGCCCTTTTCCCCCATGCAGACAGACTCAGCCAGAACTCCCAGCTGAGCCACAGTCATCAGGAGAAGAGTCTAGCTCTGAAGATGATTCCGACCTTTTTGTTAACACCAACCGTAGACAGTGTCATGAGAGTGAGGAGGAGAGTGAAGAGGAGGAGGCAGCCTGAGACCCCGGGACCCACTTCTGCTCTTTCTCAGAGACTAGTCTGTGGCTCCTCTGAGCTTGGACATTCCCAGGGTGCTCTACCAACCTTTCCCCCTGGATGGGGACAAGGCAGGGCCCCTCTCTGAACTGACTTTGACATAGGAGAATTAAACCCCTGGTGGGAGGTGACTTATGATGGTGTTGGAGTGGCTCTCTGGAAGGAGGAGGGACATGTGATAAAGTTCAAAACTGCTCCTGGGTGGAGACCTCATGGGCAGGTGGGCTGAGTGAGCAGGCAACGGGAAATAACTGGAATCTTTCCTAGGTTCTCCCTCTCTCACTGGGCATTCAGTAAGTGCCAGGCCCTGTGCCATGCCTCTGCATGTATTTAGTAACTGGGAGCAGTCCCACTTCATAGCCTGCTTTGCAATTAATACCGATTCAGGCATTCACGACCACAGTGGGTCTTAGTGCCCACCTGCCTCTAAGAGACACTCAGGACGAATTTTGTAGTGCCTCGTACACTGCTTTCCCTGCCTTTCTAGTCACCTGTCACTGCAGGAGTGCCTACCTCCATGCAGCTGTGTACATTCTGGGGTTGGTGGCCTCCTTGTGGCTACTCAGTCTCCTCAGCCCTCTTGGAAATCACATCCCACTTCTCCTGTGAAGCTGGTTATACCTTTGTATGTTCTCCCTTGTCTTTGCTGGCATTGACCTTTTAGTCACTGCTCAGACATTGAAGTTTACCTCCTGGCTCGGAGTCTTCTACCCTGGCTTCCGTCATTGTGTTCTGCATCCCATGAGTGGGCTTGTTCAACACTGTGGGCCCCTAGTTCCTTGATATCCCATCACTAATGCCCTTGTCCTCTATTCCGGGCCTGTTGCCTACATCCCTAGGCACTCCTGGACCTTTGACATCACTAGAAAGTGTAGCACCATTTGAGTTCAAATACCTGCACAGTCACCACCTCCCCTCCTGGCTTTCTTGCTTTCTTGCTCAACTACCTCCTCTGTAAAAACTCTTTTGTCTTCATCCTCCAGCCCTGCCATATTCTCACCACCATTCTCCTATCGTCACTTCCCTTCTGGTGCAGCATTCAGTCCCACGGTCTACACCCCACACTCCCTCTCCCCCTTCATTGTATTCATCTAGGAAAAACCTAGCCCTGGCCAACCCAATCATTCCCCTCTATCTGTTCCCAAGTAACTGTTAGAGAAAACAACTAACCTAGCTCACTAGTTTTACCTTAAATTCATAGTTACAAACCTCAGATGGACTCTCAGCACTGCCTAGCAGATCTCCTCTGGGATGTCATATTTGAAAACTGCTGTCTTGTCTCCCAGCTCCCCCTTCCCCTGCTGGGTTCTGACCACAGCTCATACTTCATTAAGGAATAGTAGCCATTGGAGGGAACTCTCGCCTCCCAATTACCAGCCCTACAAATGTGCTCATGGGTCTTCCTGTCCTTGTACTGCCCGGGGTAATCCAGGGGGACTGAAGCCTTTCCTCTTGTGCTTTGGAGCCTGTCTCTTTGCTTAAGGACTTTTTGTGAGTTTTGGATTTTTGTCATGCTCTCTGCTGAATGTGATAGCATCAAACAAGCCGTAGAATCTCCCATCTGAAAAACAGAGAAACCTGTCGCTCATCCCACGTCCTTTCCAACTATCACTTAATTTACCTGCTCCTCATTCACTTTTTCTTACGTTTGCTTAGTGTGGTTTTAAATATATACATGTATGTGTATATGTATATGTGTGTATACTCGTGTACAGAGATGTACATGCATACGTATGTGTGCAAAAGTAATCAGATGAAGGGGGAGGGTATAGCTCAGTGCTTAGCATGCACAAGGTCCTGGGTTCAATCTCCGCTAACTCCATTAAATAAATAAATAAACCTAATTATCTCCCACCAAAAAGAGAACAAAAAATACCCCACTAAAAACTTAAAAAAAAAAAGCTGAACTTCTTAAAAAATTAATCAGATGAGGTAAAGATACATATGTGAGTATATCTATCTTGAGCTTGTCTGAAGTTTATTTTTTACGGGAGATGGCTAACATTTTTTTCCTAAAGGGATAGCCTCTTGTCCCTATACCATTTATTGAGTGAATCATTCTTTTGTCACAGATTTTAAATACCTTTTTAAAATAAATGAAATTCCTGCACACATATGGATCTC